GTTTTTTAACTGAAGTCTACATTTTAAAACTGCCAGTATTCATGACAATGAAGAGCAGAATTTTGCAATAAAGCAAAACCCCTCAAGGGTGCCACCACAGGGCTTTTTTATGATTTAGTAATTTTCTGGGGTAACGTAGGCTCTTATCTCTTTTATGTTCAGTGTCAGTGTCGGCAGGCTGCTGTGAAGGCATGTTTCAGTCCTCCCGTGTCTCTTTATCCCACCCTCTCCAGCCCATTTCACTGCTCTGGCTGGATGCAGGCACCAAGGATACTTTGATGTTTCTGTGGCTCTGAGGCTTTTTCCTAATGAGAACTGGGAGTGAACTGACTCCGTGGTCGTCTTGTTTTCATCTGAGCTCAACGCCTAAATGAAGTTACTGTATCTGCTGCTGAGCACTGTGCGCAGAAGTGGACCAGACGCAAGTGGAGACAGAGCGTTAGTTCAAACTGGCTCCAGCTATAAAAAGAAATATTAAGATACAGTCTCTGTCAAATTTATAGCAGTTCATCTATCTAAAATCTTTGTCCATCTGTCTGTATGTGGAATTGTTCATCTTATTGGTTTCACACTTGTCGTGTGTATTGTCTAGTTTAGTGTGATTTGGAGATGTCATACGTTCACAATTAATATAGTTTGAATAAACAGGCAACCAGGGCATTGTAGCATAGCGATGGGTGGGATTTGTTGATCACGACAACAGCACGTTCATGGCATTGACAGCTAATACTCCAGTTCAGGGTTCTGCTTTCTGAGTCAAGCTTCTACTGATTTCAAATAAATAGATAAACAGCTCTTTGTGCAGCAGCCTACAGATGCGGCTCAATTACTGCAGGTTTTGCAGTTTCAGAAAGAAAGCTACAATCAAAACTACTACAGTAAATGTAAGTTTAATCAGGTTCTCTGTCCCTTCACAGCATATGTGACAGCTTACCTAAAAGAGGCTTGTGTTTGTTAGTGCTTGTGACCGTGAGAAATATCTCTTGTGTGCAAATCTGGCCCTCCAAATATCTCTTCCTGCTAATGTCTGTTACAAAGCAGGGACAGTCTGGCACAATCTCTGATTTAATGGCAACCACGCTATTCTGTGCCATTGCTGCCATCTGTGTCACCTTGGCTCCTGCAGAGTGTCAACCTTGCAAATATAACAGAGCCACCAGTGCGGTTTTCTTTCTTTCAAAGCATCACTGTCTGCCAGCATGGTACACGAGCAGGGTGATGCTTTGGTCCCTGTGTATTTAGCGTATGTGCAAGTGACTGCTAAAGAGTTCTGAGGCCAGGTGGGAGTCAGAATAGATTTGCAGGTTGACTTGTCCATGGGGCCTGCTCTCCGGAGATAAGAGAACAAAACAGAATTGTTTTCACACCCCTCATCTTCCCTTTCCTTTACATGCTTCAAATGTGATGTTATATTAGCACTGTGGTGTTGTTTTTGCAATACATCTTAATAATGCTGTCATGTCTATATGAAAGATCTGGAAAACAAGACAGTTCTCTACTAAGAGTGTAGGAGTGACGAGATGTGCTTTACACTGCCACCCCTCAGATCTTCTCCTCTAATCACCTTGTATGTGAGGCTGAGTGATGGTTAAGTTATCCTCCATCGAGGATAAAGAGGAATTCGAAAGACAAAGAATGCACTTGTCACCATGGCAACCTAGACAGCTCTTCCCCTTGCTCTTTTTGAATGAAATGAAATGGTACTCCCTTGTCTCCATTTGTTAATAATAACATGCACAATATCTGCTACAGCTTTGCTGGGGATGTGGCAGGTTGTCTGTACACTTCTTATATTGGGTGGATGTGGCTCAGGAGGTAAAGTAACCCCCAGTTTTCACTCTGAGGGTCCTTGGGCAAGACACTAAACCCTACAATGTGTCGAGAGTGTTTGGATGGTGTGTGATATGGTAAAGGGTGAAGGTGACTTTACTGTAAAATGATTTGAGTGATCAATAAAACTGGAAATAGCGCTCTGTGAATACAGTCCACTTTACTTAACTGTGATCACTGGGCAGAGCTGTGTGCCACTTTTAACCACCTTTGTTTGCCTCCAAAATACAGTGAAAAGCTTAAAAATAAAGACCCCAAGTCATTTCACATATGAAGACCAACTTCTCTTTACTCTCATCAGATTTTAGGTTTTACCTGATGCTGGAATCTTTGCCTGAAGATACAGACGACCTGTGGGTCAGTTATTATCAGCTCCAAACCTGTAGCCCAGCTATTGAGCAGAGATATCAAATTTTGCAATTGCACATAGGCAAGGTCTTAATGAAATTCAGATAAGAGTAATGATAGTGGAATCATCTTACTCTGAAATGAGAAACGAAGAGCGTAACCCGTCCTGCTGGGACAGGAAAGACTCCCTGTCTACCCATTAAGATAGATTGTAGGTTTTACTGCAGTTATTAATGCAGGGTCACCTCTTAACTGCAGCTGTACATGTAGACAATATAAGATCATTCCCAGTGCAAGCTTAAGTTAAACAGCTGACTCTAAAACTAAGAGGCTAGCTGCACTGAGCATGCAGTTAAAATATAGTCATGTTTGTTAATAAAAGTACATTCAATTATATAATTATATAATAAACTTCATTTATAAAGTAACTCTCAAATCTGAAACCAATGATACCCCTCTCCCTTCCCAGTGGGACATACAAATATTGGAACATGACATATATCAACAGCACTGACACCATACATATTAGATGGATGTAAGCAAGCATAACATTGATTTGAATTAAATTACAGAGATAGGATCAAATGTGGCTACAGGAATAATGCTCCATTAATGCAGGTTTAATAAAATAAAGGGACTACATAGCTAATACTTATATAATCTCATATGAAGTGAATATTTACTGTATTTCTGTAAAATTATGTAAATGCTCTTATGAATACAGAAATGTTGAGAAAACAAGTACTATTCACATTTATACAAACCATAACTTTAATAGAATAGAATCTGTATATGTGTGAGACATGATTGTCTGCTGGTTTATCTTGAGAATTTGTTCTGAGGCAGAGGAGCTGCTCACATATGAAGTGAAGTGTCCTTAAAAACCATGTGATACGCTGCATAAAAAACAAGGACAATCATCTCCTCAAAGAACGACACAAAGAAAACACTGTCACATCTCTGAGCTCAGGCCTCCTCTTGACCTTGGCATTGCTCCTATGGATGAAAGAGGAGAAAGGTTGAAAGCTGAAGGAACCAAGAGTGTCGAGTGCATTTGTGTAGCATATTGTGTTTGGAGGAGGCTAGGTGCGTCCCTTATACACATTGTGCAGTGGATTGAACTTTGCTTTATTCAAGGCTGGGCTCAGTACTCACAGTCTGAATAGTTTTGAAAGAGGGCTAAGAAGGGGCTGGACTGACAGCCTCTCTCAGTGTGGAGAGGAGGGGAAGAAAGCTTGTTATGGGAGAGACAGTGAAGAAGTGCCCAGAGAGAGAGAGCGAATCTGAGAGAGTGCTTTAAACTAGGAGACTGGGGCTACTGTGAAGAGAGAGGCAATGTTCAAAAAGCTGTCTCTGTGCCTGTGGGACAGTTGATTCTTGGGGGGGATTCAGAGTCTCATTAGAAAGTCAGCAGAGCTTTTCAACAGCCTGAAAAAACCTGTATCCAGATGACAACTTGTCATGGCTGGTGGCAAGCACTGCACCCATATATAGACTTCAGACTTACTTATCATACAGCAACTATGTCATAATTACTAACAATGAAATAGTTGAACACCAAAAAAATCACACTATATTTTTTCCTGATTCACATGAAGCAAATTCCCAATTCTTAGTGTGGATGCTTTGCTAAATTATTTTGCTCATGATTCAGATTTGGACAAAAGAATCCAAAAGCAAGCTGTGTTTAATAACTATATTTTAGTGGCCTGAGACATTATCTTTTCAGGGTTGTCTGTCTGTCCCATGGTATCTCAAGAATGTCGAGAGGGTATATCTTCAAATTTCATACAAACGTTCACTTGGATTCAAGGATGAATTGATTGGTGGTCAAAGGTCAAAGGACCTTACAAAACATGTTTTTAATCTTGTGAACGTAAGATCTCAGGAACACCTGGAGGGAATCTCTTCAAATTTGATACAAATGTCCACTTGAACCCTAAGAAATATTAGGAACAACCAAAGGGAATTTTATTACATCTGTTACAAACATTCACTTGGATTTATAAGGATGACCTGACCAAAGGTCAAGGTCATTATACCTCAGAAAACTCTTTCTGAACCTCTTGAATATGAAAGTACGCCTAGAAAGAATCCTTTCAAATTATGCCCAAATTTTCAAGTGGACTCAAAGATTAAATAATTCGATTTGGGTGTTCAAGGGTCAAAGGTCACAGTGGCCTCACAAAACATGTTTTAGGCCTCTTGAACATGATATCTCGAGGTGGCCTTTTGGGAATTTCCTCAAATTTTTCCAATTGTCCCTTGGACTCAAAGGCTGATGAGATTTCAGTGGTCAAAGGTCATGCTGACCTCAGAAGAATCTGGAATAAAAAGTATGGCGACTGAAACAGCTCTGATTGGCAGAGGCATACATCTGCAGGGAGGTAATTCCAGTTGTCTCTTGTAATCTTGGTTTGCCACACAGTTCTCATTTGTCATCATGCCTTTTTTTCACAGGAGCTGCACTGATGTGGTTTGCTGTGTTATCTTCGTCATTGTCATCCTCGGCTACATCGCTCTGGGTACCGTGGGTGAGTTTTGGCACGTTGCTCCCACTAAGTGTCATAATGTCACACACAACCACACGCACAAATATGGACACGCACAACTGTGATGACATGTTCATGGTGTGGAAGTGTGAATTGCTCACATATCCTGTTCGGCCTGGGTGTGCGATTCAGAAAAGCATTCTAGTGTGTGGAATGAATGGAAAGTTTGTGCTCTGCATGTCGCTGCATTTTCCAACTTACTTATTCAACATCATTAAAATAGACATTATATCAGTGTGGGATAACCAACAAAATGGATGATTGTTAAAAGTGTGGGGGAGTTGAGAACAGCAGCTCCCTCAAAAGAACAGGCGGGGAGGCTCAGCACCATATGCAGCTGGTACGATTCACTCTAGCCTCCTTTACTTGAGGTGATTGTGTTCTCCAAGCTGTTTTGCGTCCCAGTCAAGTTTTTGACTTGATGACCAGTGATTCCTTCCAACTCTTGTTTTATCTAAAGCCATTTTTTTTGTTAAACTGTGACTGAGATTCCTCTTTGTCTGCAGCTGACCGAGGCCATGCAGTTGTTAGGATCCCATCCCAGCTCTTCTCTCCTTTCTTTCTTTCTTTACACCAATCCGGATTTATATCCAACGCGCCTGACTACACATCTCTTTTCTCCATCTCACATATATTATATATATATACATATAGCACACATCACAAATAAGGGTGAAATAAGGTGGCAGCACTGTCACCAAAGTGCTGGCCCTTGTCAGCTTGTTGTCATTGGAGTCACGTCTCAATCTGGGCAAGCGAAAGACTTACTGTTTTCCAATTATTTAAAAAGAGCTGGAGCTATGACAATGGATGTGGCTTCAAATAAATGCTGACATGTCTGCAATCAGCTGAAGAACTTGGTGGAGGGGTTTTTTTTCTGCGTCATTTTTCGGTTTCATCATCTTCGTGTCAGTGTCAGTGACTTGTACAATGTCTTTGTTGTGCTGTCTCATGTTGAACACATTCCTGATGGGCAAGGTGAAAGGCCTAAACACTGTGTTGTGCAGGTCGGGCCTGAGAATAAAAACACAAAAATTGCTCAGTGAATTGAATTTCAGGTTTACTGCTGCTCCTATCTAGAGGAACGGCTCAGAACAAATTAAACAGGATTGATTTTTTTTATTTGTTTGTTTTGTTCTGTGCAAATGTTTCTTCTCAATTAACGTACATCCATGCAATCGTCCAAATAGTTTTCCCTTGTTGTCATGTTAATTGCGACAGTTAATTTTTGTCCTTGGTAAGTGATTGATTTAAACAGGACCCTCTTTGACCCAGATCTTCTTAATACTACTGCATTGCTTGTCCTTAGATAGCAGGTCATTTTCTATATATAGCATGAAAAAACTAGACAACCTGTCAGCAGAGAGTCTAAGGAGGATAATGAGTTGACCAGTGTCCTCAGGTATTGCAGTAGTTAGGACATATGTGTCTCACATGTTAAAAAACAATACAATTAAAAGAAACCTGTTTTTTATTTTCAGCCTGGATCCACGGTGACCCCAGGAAGGTCGTCTATCCAACTGACAGCCACGGTCAGTTCTGTGGCCAGAAGAACACCCCCAATGCGTAAGTGGAAAAGTGTCTGCTTCCTGAATGATTGTACTGACAAGTAATTATGTTCTTCAATTTGCCAAGCTTTCCATCCTTATCTCTACTCTCAAAAAAGGCTCTGGCCACAATAATACAGAGAGATGATTTGTGATTAATTATGGCTTTAGTGCACAGTGTGCTCGTGTGTGCTTGTGTGTTTGCACATTTTTGCTGGTCCTCACTGTCTGACTCTCTTGGTTTATACTTGGTTCTATGATCATCAATCTGATCATCTAATGTATGTATGTCTGTATGTAGCTCACATATCTCGAGCACCATTCCTCTTACCACCTAAACACTTACATGTATATTGGTAACGGCCCAATGGACTAATTTCTCTGCTCTATTCTGCCTCTTCTCCGCAGAAACAAAGCCATATTATTCTACTTCAACATGTTAAGATGTGCCAATCCTGCAGTTTTAATTAACCTCCAGTGCCCTACAACCCAGGTAAGACACTGAATCAAGCTCCATCGAGCAGCTCTCTGAATAATGCCGTTCTTCCACCTTTTTCCTCTACGCTTGATTATGCAAGATTGATGGGCTTTCTCATTAAGATGATGTGTTGTCTCCTCTAGCTCTGTGTCTCCAAGTGCCCTGACAGATTTGCCACTCTCCTGGATGCGTGGAATACCAAAAACTGGGAATATTACAAGCAATTCTGTAAACCGGGCTTCAAGATTGGAAGTAAGGTGAGAGACAGTGGTTAGTGGCCCATTTTGTCTTTTTGTCATGTATTTTACATCTAAGTTCCAGTTTGTATCTTCCTTCGAGCAGTCAAAAACTGCATGACAGGTACTTATATTTTCATTCATAGCACCACATCACAATGGGCATTATATCAAGGGACATATTGTGCATAATTGTCCCCAGAACCTTAGAGACAGCGCTTTGACCCTTTTCATCTAGAAACACTTTTTGATGAAACATAATTTTATAAGATCTCAGATCACTTTCATCTGCACACTTTTAATAATGAAGAGCTCATTTGAATGTGCTTTGAGAGACAGGCGAATGTGAGCGAGCCCCTGATGCACATCAAAGCCCTGTTTTTGTAGGTTGGCAGTGTTTCCGTGACGTTAACATGACAGTCTGTAAAGATCAGAAAATGAGGTGGTGCGTGGGAGCACCAAACAGCTCAGTCATACTGTTAAAACTGAATCATCAATTTCCCTTCCCACATCAACTCATGTATGGCAATGTTACATCAGACAAGATGAAGTCCAACTCGGTCACATCTGATTTCTTAGTCTTGTTCAGGAAGCAGTGTTTTTAGTTATAACAAAAATATAATTACTAAAAAAAAAATACAATGTTGCTGTAGAAGGATTATATTCGATATTGTTCTAAAACATACTGGTGAATGTAAAAATGAGTTAACTGATTGGAGAAGCCCCTTCAATCGGACTATGATAAAAATGGTGAGGTATTAATTATTTGTTTTCATTTGTTTGAGTCATTATTACCTTTATTTCCCTTTCAGTCCACTGTAGAAGTCATACGAGATGAAGACTGTCCATCTATGATTGTGCCAAGCAGACCTTGTAAGTGAATCTGATACCCTGTACACACAGTTATACACAATAGATCCTTCTTAAGAAAATAAAAACCCTTTTTTTTAGTCTTCCAGCGGTGCTTCCCAGATTTCATTACAAGAAATGGAATTTTAACTGTAGCCAATCAGACCATCTTCAAAGACGGCGACAATAACAAGAGAAGTGTCAGCGACCTCAAAGATGCTGCCAAGTAAGTCCTACTTCCTTGCAACATGGATTTCTGTGCTTGTTCTTGTACCATTTAAAGCAACACAATGCAACTTTATCACCTTAAAATAGCAGCATGGTGCTGCTTTGATTCTCACTCCTCACCCTAAATGCCTGTTCTAGCTCTGTGTAACTTTGATGAGCCGGCATCTTCTCCTGCCACCAAGATCAAGAGTGAAGCAGAATCGTACATCAGTTAAAAGACTTTAGTTATTAAAAACCAGCATTTATCTCCAGTATTTTAGTGAGAAAACGTTTAAATATCAAAACAGAGTTTGGTGTATATGTCACAGCAGCTGCTCTGCTAGGATCATGAAGAATAGCCACCGTTCAGTTATGGATCAGTTCAGTTTAATCTTTGTTATTTCTCACATGAAAACCACTTAATTGCTCCGACACGGAGCTAAACAGAATTAATCAAAATGTGTGGCTGTTGTACCATAAAAGTTACATAGTGTTGCTTTAACTTAAAACAAGTAGAAAAGTCACACACTGTACTTTCCATTGAGAATCGCCACGTTTGCTTTGGTAAAACAATGTGCACAGTAATTTACGCTGTAAAATAAAGTGTTTTAAAACTCTTATACTGTCAATAGGGCTGCCGACACTGCACCAAAAGAGTTCGCGACAAGTATTACAGGGTAGGACGAGTTGGCATGTCGCTGATGCCCAGGAATGTGTCCAACCACATTCAGAGTGACTTGCATGTTTATTGCATGAAACTGCAGCTTACCTACAAGTTCACCAGTAGAACCTCAGCTGTACCTACGCGCTTCTTATAACAGCTGTGTTAACATGTTAATTGGCTGTGACGACAAAGGTTAATCAGAGAAATCATGTATCTGAACAAGTGAGATCATAAATATACATGATTCTGTCTTTGCTCTCCACGACCTGGATATATAATGTGCTTTAATGCTTTTCCTTTTGTAGCCAAGTAACCGCCATGCAGCAAGGAAAGGAAAGGTCTCAAAATAATTTATTTCAGCTTCTTAACTCTGCTGCAGCGAGTATCTGCGAGTAGACTAACCCCTCCACTTGTTCTGTTCATCATGACGAATCTGCTCCTGCATCCCTCCACCTGCAGGAGCACAGAGGAATCAGGACAGATTAATCAAACTGTTTGTGACAAAAATCTACCTGGTAACAACAAGAAGTCACTTACTGGATGCCTGCACAGCCTTTATTAAATACAACAGAGCAGTGCAGTGCCTCCTGGTGGTCATTGTGTTAGCTACCTTAAACTAGGTTTGAATGCAATAACAGTGCTGGATATGAACCAAACTCTTGGATGTGGACAGGGCATCGGTGACCTTTAGCTTCAGCTGAATTGGAGCTCTTCATCATAAGGTTGTTTTCAGTGCTCCTTTCAGTGCTGTGTCAGGCCCATAGAAGTGTTAGCTTGTCCTCTAACCCTCCTCTGAGTCATACAGCAGTGTGTCTGCAGTCAAACCTCACTGTGGTCACGTCCTGACTCTGTTACCTGTCCTGCCAATTTTCTTCTATTGGTGTTGAGGAAAATGAAGCTTTTGTTGCTGAGGTGAGAAGCTGGACTTGAACTTAATGAGACTTCACATTGACTCCCAGTTTATTCCGCACAAGTTTATAGTTTGTGATGTAAAGATTCTTGCACCGGAGGCTATTTCTGATTTATGTTGCTCGAACTCTTTAGTCTGATAGAATAAGGCAGGAGATATGTTTCGGTTTATGCAGAATCATTTTTCTTTCGTTGAAATGTGGTCCTTGCTCACCACCAAGTAAAGGTCAAGATAAGATTTATAGATAGACTGAGTGATCTTGAGATCTTTTCTACACTTACCTGTACTGTGAACAAGAATTAATGATCTAATATAAAAAAAACACTCCTGTGCTTCTCCACTTACCACCCCCCTGTATCACAAAAGCTGCTTACAGACATGAACTCTGGAAAATGTCAGGAAAATTAGGTCTGGACATTCTCCAGAGGTGGCATCTAGGTAGAGCGTGCTGGAGGAAAGAGATGACGTATAAATTCTGCAGCAGAAATCACATGTTTTTGTTTACAGCATATAGACGCTGGCATTGGTTCTTAATACCAAAAGCTTTTGATTCTTGTTGTCTTTCCAGGTTGTTCATCGGTGTCTTCTGTATGGCACCTCTTTTTCATCCTGAGAGCTTGTTATTTTTAGTTTAGTTTTTCATCCCTAATGTGTTAGAAATGTGGTCATCAACTTTTCTGCCATTTTCCTGCTAAGCTTTTCTGGACATTTTACTAGGGGCTGGTAGGAAAAGTTCTGGAAAATGTCCAGAGTTCAGTGCATGTCTGAAAGCAGCTATATTGTAACACGCTGCCCAACCATTTTCAACCATACCACCGGAACTACTGCTCAAAAGTACTCCAGTAACACTAACGCCGTTATGTGCGTCTTTGATATAACAACCTCATAATGGGCTCACAGATCTAGGATTATCAAAAGCATTTTGAAACTGTATTCATCTTTGTTTTTCGCAGTGAGAGCTTTTAAAGATAAATCAAATGTCAAAATGTTTTTGAGAAACTTATCGTAAACCAAACTCTGAGGGGCAGTAACACAAACCTGTCACCATCCCTCTCTCTGTTTTATTAAATCCCTTTTTTTTTCCCCCTTATCTCTTTTTCCTCCATCTCACCTTGTGAATGTTTCACAGAGGTATCGCCAATCTGCTCAGTGCCAAAGAAGTTGGCATGAAGATTGTTGAGGATTATGCAAATTCCTGGTACTGGATCCTCATGTAAGAAAAGCTTTGTCTTCTGCTGATTCTCATGTTTTCTTTTCTCTGTATGGATTATTTGTTCCTTTGTGGGTAGAGAAATATCTCTGACCCTGAACCATCCGTAAGTGTAATGATGACCATTTTAGTAACTTTTATATCCAAATATTTCCTATTGTACAACCCGCTCAAATCAAAGACTGTACACAAAGATGGACGACATGACTTCTCCTCAAAAATGAAGCCAAAGCCTCTCAATTGCCCCCTGGTGGCTGGCTGCAGTATAGGTCTTAAATCTCCCATCCTGTTAATAGATGAGACATTGTTTTACGTCCAAGTTGTCATGTTTTAACCAAGTTTGATTTTAATTTGAAATGTATTGGCTTTAATTTAGTAGTTATTTCAGACTACTAAACCATATGAAATGTCGTGTATCGATGGGATCTCGATACCATAGCTCCTTCCCCTGATCGCTACTTCAAAGATTCGAAGATAAATACTCCAAGTGTTCAGATCCTGCATATTTTGTCTTAATTTCTGGATAGTGGGAGGAAGTGGAGATGCATTGTCCATCTTTATATACAATTTATAGCACAAGTAGGAATATATCACCAAATAAATGGCTCTGTACAGAACAGATTAGTATAGTCTGCCTTAATTCCTTTATGGCAAACCCCACCCATGTTATATTATCTGAATCGTACAGTTATTTGTAGAACACTGGTCATTTCGCATTATGCATGTGTTTGTGTGCGTTTGTGTTGTTGCAGTGGTCTGGTGATAACCATGGCAGTCAGTCTGCTCTTTATCCTGCTGCTGCGCTACACTGCTTGTGTGCTCCTGTGGCTCATTGTGTTTGGTGTCATCACTGCTGTCGGCTACGGTGAGTATGCACCATAGATGGTCAACCACATTGCCAGTGGCTATTCTATACTTAGCACACATGTTGGAGATGTTGCCCACTTTTTTTTCTACACTTGACTTATCTTGATGTGAGTAGTGCTGTTGTCATGACAAACTGTAGCAGATGTAGATTTGTCTTTTTTTCTGTCCATCAGGTATCTGGCACTGCTACTGGGAATACAGTTTTCTGAGTGGGAAGCCGGGAGCTAACGTCACCATCTCTGATATCGGCTTTCACACAGACTTCAGCGTTTACCTTCATCTCAGCCAGACGTGGCTCATCTTCAGTATGTTGTCTACCACCATACCTTTATTTTATGATTCTGTTTTATTATATGAGCTTGTCAGTTTCCACTCCACGAATGTAAAGCATTGGTTGTCTATCAGCAATTAATCTCCAAACCCAGATGACTGTCCCACTTTGCAGTAACACATTTAGAAAAGATATGTACATTTTAATTCTTCTGTACGCTAATTGCAAATGGTATTATTAATTAATAACTATTATTTTTTACTAATTCAAGAAAAAAAGGATGAACTTTATAAATGCTGAATTGAAGAACAGACAGAATTTGTTCCCATTGCTAATTGTAATACACTATATTATAATTGCATGTGTTATAGTATATTCATTAATTTTTGCATTGTAGTGATCGCTCTGTCAGTGATTGAGGCCATCGTTGTGATTATGCTGATATTTCTGAGGACGAGGCTGCGGATTGCTGTTGCACTGCTAAAGGAGGGCAGCAAGTAAGTTTAGCTTACTCCTTAAAATGTATGTACTGAGTTGAACTCTTTTTTTATATGAACAATAATTGATCTTTACTGTTCCCAGGGCAATTGGCTATATCATGTCCACTCTCTTCTACCCTATCATCACCTTTTTCCTTCTGGCCATCTGCATCGCTTACTGGGCCGTTACAGCTGTGTATCCTTCTGACTGAGACCCAAATGAACTGTTTTATTCACAGAAGTAAAGGAGTTCTTCTACTGTAATGTTGTTTGTGATGCTTTTACTGTAGAAGCTCAGTGAATATAATAACTATGAACATAGACATTTTTGTAAATAAAGTATAGTATTAGTTAGCTTCTATAAATTGGGATTTTTGTGTGTAGGAAGTTTCCCTTAACTCATCTGGCCTCAGCTTCTTGTCATCATCTGGGCATGCCGTCTATAAGGTTGCACCTGCTGATGATAAGTGCATTTATGCCAACCTCACGTGCAATCCAAAGGTTAGCCCCACACTCTGATACACACTGGAGATCATTTACTGAACAAATACCTTGCCTGTCTGTGTGTTTGTTTTGTTTTTTAGAAAAATACAATTGTCACTGATTCTGATTCCGTGTTCAATTTCAATGAAAATGGGCATTCCGTTTCAGCTCATTTAGTCATACATTCTAAATCTTTACCTCTTTGGTGCATGTTAAGGTTACAGCTGTCACCGCCTTTATTTAAGGTTACCAAGGTTAAAACTGTCTCTGCTAAGGCAATCTTAAATCCCATCTTCTGGTGACGATTTAGCCTCTCAAGGTGACAGTCAATATTTTGGAGCTTCAGTTCGATTTTAAAGTCGGGGAAAACTTGAGATGTGAGAATGGAGTTGACGTTTAGAGACAGCATCTACAGTGATACTCTTTGTCTGTGTTTTTTGTCCAAACGACATTTTGGATCATGTCTATTAACAGCTATCTGCATATGAATGCCAATGAATTAAAAAGCTATTTGAAGATGCACATTGGTCATTGTTGTGTTCTGACTCTGTTGCTGTTATCTGCTCATGTTATTGGTGAAATCACAAATTAGAAATGTAAACCAGAGGGCTTCTGTTCCCCAAATCTTATCCTTCATCTACAGATTCAAAATATACACATGCAGAATCTGTTTATAGAAATGAATGGTGCTCTGCATCATCATCCTACAACACATCAAGATTAACGCTCTTGCTTTTCTTCCAGACCTTCGATCAGACCAACATCACCAAAGTGTGCCCCGGGTCACAGTGTATGTTCGCCTTCTATGGTGGGGAGAGTGTGTATCACCGCTACATCTTAGTCCTCCATCTGTGCAACCTATTTGTTTTCCTCTGGCTGGTCAACTTTACCATTGCCCTGGGACAGTGCACCCTGGCTGGAGCCTTCGCTTCCTATTACTGGGCCTTGAAGAAGCCAAATGACATCCCTGCCTGCCCCCTCTACTCCTCATTTAGCAGAGCCATACGGTACAGAGCAGCATAGACAGATATTTTACAATGTACCAGATTTGCATTTACATTTGAGTATTATTATCATTTCTATTACTTGTATTATAAAAACATAAAGACGAGTTAAATACTCTCCCCTTTAAATGTTCAGATGTACATTATTCCATTTCATCTCGTGTCACAGTTATCACACAGGTTCCCTCGCTTTTGGTTCACTGATCGTTGCCGTGGTGCAGATGATCCGAGTGGTTCTCGAGTATCTGGATCACAAACTGAAAGGTATGTTGTGACTCTTGAAGGCACTGATATTCCCACTCGTACACAACATAATGGATATTTTTAGAGCAATGTTGGTGATTGATGATGATTTTCCCAGGTTCTCAAAATGCCTGCGCTCGTTACCTGCTCTGCTGCCTCAAATGCTGCTTCTGGTGCCTGGAACATTTCATAAGGTTTATAAACAGAAACGCGTACATAATGGTGAGTTGTGGAGCATCTGCTTGGCCAGTAGTTTGTACTGATGTGATGCATGTATCATTTAGCAGTTCAGTTTTTAATTGCTTGGCTTGTACCTTGGTGCTTAATTACCCTCGACTAAGCCCTGTCTCTGTGTTTTTTTCCCCCAACAGATGGCAATATACGGAAAGAACTTCTGCACCTCGTCCAAGGACGCTTTCTTCCTTTTGATGAGGAATGTTATTCGGTTAGAACTTTTGTTATATTTCGGCTGCACAAATGGTTCTGAGTGCATTTTCCAAAACGCTTCCTGCCAGCGTCTTGGAAAATATCCTGAAAATATAAGATTGTATCCACATGAGAATACAGCTGGAAAATGTCCAGAATATTCACAGCAACCGAGTGATCGTTTCAAAGACTCGAAGCAACAACAAAAAAAAAAAAAAACACGAAAACAATACAAATATCATGGGATGAAAATACATGTCAAAGATGCTGTTGATGTAAACTTGGAAATATTAAACATTTTTAATATTTACATTTTCATGTTCTTCAAAACAAGCCCAATCTCAAACCCATTTTTTAAGATGCCAAAATAACAAATACAAAAATACACATTAAAATGGTTCAGCATTTAGTGTTGGTGACACAATTAAGAAATGTGTTTTAAAGCAGTTGGACATTTTTCCTTATTAACTTTGATGTTTTAAATTTAGTTTGCACTTCCACTGACCTTGACTGTGTCTCAAAACATCTTCTGTCTGTGTCTGTCCTTCTCTCTGGTTCTTCTCTCTCTCTTCTGCAGGGTGGCTGTCCTGGATAAGGTGACAGACTTCTTGCTCTTCTTGGGAAAGCTGCTTATTACAGGAGGTGTTGGTGAGTTTCTGCAGAAGAGACAAAATAATAAGGGGATTATATTTCATCTCACTCCCAGTTGTTTTTACCATGAAGCTGAAGAGAATTGTTGCTTTTGTTGCCTGACTTGCATTAAGTTTTAGAAGGTTTTGATTTCAGTCAACAAAATATTATTTACATTATTATTTAAAATGTATTCGAGTAGTTACCCTCACAAAGCCCTGTTTAATTATTGTTTTTACTTAATACACTACATAACCTTGTACAGTATCACACCGTGCCTCTTAAGTTTCCTTAATGTATGGTTTATTGAATTGAAAGTAGTATTGTGATTATAAGTTTAAACATATTAGTGTTGTGTCAACTGAATCCCTCATACTTGCTTTCTTTAAAAATCCCTGTGTGTATTTACAGTATACATATTTATCTTCATATATATTTGCTTGTTATTAAGTAGTTCTTTCATGTTTTCCAGGTGTTCTTGCATTTTTCTTCTTCACACATAAGATACCAGCTATTCAAGAAGAGGTGCCATCCCTAAATTACTACTGGGTTCCTGTTCTGGTAAGACATTCAAATATGTACTATTTAATAACCAAAAATTATAAGTGAGACTGAAACAAGTTTCTTGAGTGTGGGGAGCCGGACCAGAGTGGCCTTTAAACCTTGTAGGAGGTAGAGTCAAAAAAAGATTTCAAACAAGTGGTTATTTTACAAAAGAGGGGTCCCATGTTACATGTATCAAAAATATGTACAGAGCAAAATAAATAATACAAGTCAACTCAGCTTAACTGAAAAACTTCCCCCTGATAGTTAAAGGGCAACTGCTTATATAGCCCCTTCCATCAGCAGGAGCCAACTCAGACCACAACACCCTCCCCTGGAAACAGGCAGGTGAATGTTAACTATTAGATCCAACTTTAAAAATGCCTGTGCTGACACTTGTCACCGAGCTTACATTTGGCAGCTTGATTAAAACCCTGTACACAAAGTCCAGCAAATATTAATTAAAACACTTTTACACCTCCCCTCACACAGGGTTGTGACCAAAGGTATAAATACAGGAAGTGTTGAGACTCTCCGTTCTTTTGTTCCTGCAGCACATGATGGGAAAGGGTTTCAGAGAAATTCAGAAAAAAAATAATGGAAAACGGAACCAATAAACAGCAACTAAATTGAAGTATTCTTCTCCGTTTTTATTTGACGGTATGTGAATTGTAATCGAACATTATGCAAAACACAAAGTCTGGATGGTGTGTGTTTACCTGCTGCAACTTAATCTTGATCGTGATCTTATGATGTAGAATTTGTATTCTAAATCTGACTGGTCGCTGTGCATACAAAGGCCTCCAGACGTCATCAGTCCTGCTGTCAGCTTTTTTCTTATCTTATTATCTTAACATTTGTCAAGTTCACACCAAAATCTCATGTTTTTAGTTGTGGAAAGTTGTTAAATCTGTTTTTACAGAGTTGAACACACTAATTAGTTTTGTTGATGGATTTATGACTCAGTGGCTTTTATTCTTTCTGATGCCCTTGTGTTGGAGTGAATGCTAATTTTTGTTTTTGAATCATAAAACAGAAATGTAAGACAGATACACACAGTTTGCTGCTCACTGACTGGGAACTGTTGATTCTTTCAGACGGTGATATTTGGATCCTACATGATTGCACATGGCTTTTTTAATGTCTACGCCATGTGCGTGGACACATTGTTCCTGTGCTTTTGTAAGTATAACCCTTAAACAGTACTTGACATGACCATGTGTGAGAATACAGACTGCTTGTACTGTAAGGGTGGTAAAGATGGAATGTCCAGTCTCTCAGCTGAATATAATAATTTCCCTCTTTAGATCTGGCTTAAAATCTTAACTGATTCCTACTGTCTCACAGATTCTCCTCTCTGTAATTCCTGCATGTCTGTGTTTATCTATCTTTACTAAGTCTTTGCCTTCTCTCTCCTCCTGTCCTTCTTTCTGATTTTCCTGCTCCTCCTCTCCTGTGCTGGGACCTGGTCTCAGGTGAAGACCTGGAGAGGAACGATGGTTCTTCCTCCAGGCCCTACTACATGTCTCCTGGCCTGCACAAGATCCTGCGCAAAGGAGAGGAGGGTGCCAAATCCCGCACTTCCTCCTGAGCGACGTGCAGCCCTGTTACTAATTCACTGACTCTCTCGCTCACTTCTCCATATCTACTTTATGCGTCTGGATGTTTGAGAGCAAGTATTTCTAGGGCTAAACATCTAAACTGGATGCATCCCTGATGCCTGGTCCTGGATGACCTGGACATGAAAAGACATGATTTTACTTCAGTCCCTCCCAGGAAAAAAGGCATGGGGGACTAGAGAAAGACCTCTGTTCACTTCCTCTCTTGAGCCAACTCAGAAACTTGCCTTTTTTTCTTTCATTCTTTTTCTTTTCTGTATTTTCTGCTGACCTCTGCCTTACTGAGAGGGTACTTGTCAAATCGCAGGAAGGATGCACAGACTGAAATAAAGAAATCTGAGCATTTTCACCCAAACAAACATAAGGGACCTTAAAATGTACAGATGCCACTGATGGACTACGGCATATGAAATCACCATTTAAAAATCAGAAGTGGTGGACTTATGGGGCACCCTCTTGTCGCACTTTGGTCTTCTAGTGTAAAATCATGTTTTGTATGCACTTTCACATATGGGAAAAGAACCATGTGATTTATTTCTTCTGCCGAGCATGATTATTTTGCTGGCTGTTGATGTTTACCATTGGTTTTATAGGTTTCTCTGATTCCCTGTATTTATACTAACTCAAAACACACAAATCCAAAAAATGGTGTGTATACTGCACTTGGAAAAACAGGTTTCTCTTATTTTCTCTTTGTCTTACAATCATTTCAAAGTTTCCATCATGCTCATAGATGTACTGTAAACCAGACAGAGACTTTGTGGGAGGTCAAGACTTCAAACAATATGTTTTGTTCTTTGCTTAAAAATTGGAACTGAACCTGACAGATTTCAGGAAAACTACTGAATGCAGCCACTAGTTTATGTGCCTAGTTGTGAAGAAAAAAAAGAAAAATGTTCCTCCTACTCTGTGGTTTTAGACCTAACACCAGGAACTTTTTGTGATACTGTTTATAAAAGGATGTCAAAGCCATTTTTGGTAAATTTTTTATTGGATGGTTCAGATATAGTGCTGTTTTAATACTAAGTATAATACACGCATCTGTCTGGAGGTTATTCAGTGTTGTTTTTGTACAGGAGAATTTTTTTTATCAATGAAATCCAATGAAAATGTGAATCATTTTTTGGAATAAACATAAATGGTTGAAGCTTCGTCCAGTGCATTTTCCAGAACCTTGATTTTAGTTTTACTTTATCAGTCGAAGATGAGCTGAAGTATCATGGTTTAACTTTGACTAAATTTCCAAACTGATTTTTAACATATTGCTGCTGCTGCCTCATAGTGTGGGACCTGGAGGTGAATGACGGCTCTCCTGCTCGGCCCTTCTACATGAACAAAACCTTGAAGAGCATCCTGAGCAAGAAGAACGTCAGGAAATAGAAACAAGAAGAGAGGTGAGGGAAGGAGAAAGACTGGAGGTCATTTACCAAAGCATGGAACAAACCTGTGTGGCAATTTTACCAAATGTATTTTAAGTTTGCATAAATTTCACATATTCATTATAATGGACAAGAAAGTGTAGTTATGCTACTTTAAAATTTTCAGTAACTTGCACAATCATAATTTATGGATTGGGTAGGTCGTCTGTACTTATAGCTCACTTCAGGAATCTTGGTATGGATGGTGTACAAAGTTTTTAACATTTCAGAACTAAAATGTGATTTGTGGCATAATTTTTACAGTCATTCTCACTGACTACAATCACTACAGTCAAGTCTATACACAGCCACAGTCACGGTGCATAATAAGTTCCTATTGGAACAAGTAATGTCATTGTTTATTGAGGTTGTGGTTGAACCTCAGCTCTTTGTTCTTGATCTCTTGTAATTACCAGTTTTCACCACTTGGTGGTGCCAGTTATCACCAGACCTCACTTTATTCCATGAAATGGTCTAATGTTATCTAAACTCATCTGTGGGTTGTTATGTTGTGTTTCTGACCTAAAATGTCTCATATTGAGAAAAAACGTCCACTGTTTTCATATTCAACTGTCAAGTATGTTATAGAAGTTCAGTTTTTATTCTTATATGCATTTTTTTTAATTATGTCATTTATTGTCTAATTGCATCTTGCAGATACATGTTTTTATATTCACAGATGTTTTTCTTAAAGAACTCTGTTAAAGGGACAGTCAGTCACCAACTGTGGAGGTCCTTGTCTTTTCCAGATATTTGTAGTAAAACTGAAAAGTGAAGTGGAATTGTCTTATCCAGTTTTGAACATCACATAATGAAGTAGAAATGCTCTCAGAGTACCAATCGCAACAATCAATATCAATACTGCAGTGTTAATTATTGTCTCAAGCAGCAATACGCAGTTTCTCACTCCATCGATCTCAACAAAAAACTTCCCCCTGATAGTTAAAAGGCAACTGCTTATATAGCCCCTTCCATCAGCAGGAGCCAACCCCGACCCTGCAACCCTCGTCTGGAAACAGGCAGGTGAAACTATTAGATCCAACTTTTAAAATGCCTGTGCTGGCTCTTGTCACCAAGATTACATTTGACAGCTTGATTAAAACTCTGCACACACAAAAATAGCAAATAATAATTGCTCAGAGAAGCAGCTCAGTCAGCAATCCGGAAAGAGCAATATGATAGGCCACGCTCACTTACACAAATCAAAATGGCACTTCAGATTTTGTTTAATTCTGGACTCCAGATCATGCATAGCTAATTTAGTACAATTTTGTTGACTTGATTTGAGGTACATATATTTGTTATTTGTGGTGCCCCCTATTGGTTGGGTTTAAAATGCTTTAGTCACCCTATTCTCAAATAGGGCCTGAAGTAAATGGCAGTGTGTAGGATCTAGTTTCATGTTGCAGCTGAACACCCCTCACCTCACCCTCCCCTTCCAAACATGAAGGAGAACCTGTGGCAGCCTTCAGTTGTCATAAAAACCCAAAAGGTTTAGTTTGTCCAGTCTGGGCTACTGTAAAAAAACATGGCTGTAATATCCTGATGTAAATATAAAGTATTTAAATATAAAGGGCCCATTCTAGGGTAAAGAAAACAACAATCATTCAATTTAGATAAAACACTCAAGTGACAACATCACTAGGATTATTTATTTTATATTCAATTTCTGCCAATAGATCCTTTCACTGAAATCTTACTGAACCTTTAGGATGATTTGAGATTAGCTGAGCCCCTCTCTTTGCAGAGATGATACCAGCCATGTTTTAGGGCCGATCCTTCTCAGGCCCCAAAGGCTGTTTACCCAATTTGGTCCAAATCCAAAAGGTTCTATTCATCTTAGTGTTTGCATTGCACTAAGACTTAACCTTTGAAATAAAAACTGCAGGTCCTGACCACCAACCAATTTCAAAACTGAACAATGAAAACTGCGGTTATGACTGCAGACATGACGGGCAGACAGACACCACTGATTACAATTACACCACCAGACTGCTACCACATAACTGGGCTGTGAAAATCATAGGCTTGTTCTCAGACACCTCTAGTGTGTGTCCAAGCAGCAAAAAACACAGAACCTGTGACACGTGTGCTGTTTCTTATATTTTCAACCTATGGGCACATCTGTGTGCGACTCAGAGGGTCATACATGAATTTAGTAGCTGCTCTTAAAGAGATAAATCCCCATAAATGTATCTCATTAGTTTGAGAGTTGCCTCCTATTGATTGAAATGTGGCTCGGTCTCCTCTTATTAATTCAAAAGTGGAACTGATCCTGCCTTATATTTGCAATTAGCCTTTTATTTTATTAATCAGACTCATTTAATTGGTTTAAAAAAAACTTGCTATATATTGGTTGCCCCTTGAAATATATGCTCATGTCTGGAATCAGTTTATGAGCATGTATGCTTTTGTGACCCAGGTTATTAGTGACCCTGTCATGTGAAAGATGCAGTTGTGTGGATTTGTTTGATGAAAATTGTGAAGGTTCTGCTAATGAAATATTGTTTTTCTCTTGGAGGAAGGATCCAGGACATGTTTGGATGTCTACAAAATAAGTTTCAGTTTGGGTGTAAGCAGGCTGTAGCTGAACCCACTGATGAAATAAGTGGGTGGCATAGCTCTTGGCATTTTCTCTCTGTGTTGTTGTTTTCTACACAGATATTAAACATGTACTAAGATCTATTTTTTGGATTCAAGCATCGCTCTGTAGGACACTGGGCTTTAGAGCTTTGAGATGTGACCCATGTGAGTGTGTCTTTATTCTGTCAGACCTGAGCGTCTGCCCTCATGGTGCCTCAGAGTGACAGCACCGCCATACGCGCACACCTTCCTCCCCCGTTTGTGCCGAACACGCTGAAACACGTACGACGTTAACCATTCAGTGAAAGCAAAAACAACTCTGCTTGTGTATCTGAAAGGAGAGAAACGATGCATGTGATGCTTAGTTTGGCATTTTACACAGAACACGTCGTTATTCCTTTCATGCATCCTGGAAATTGACTTTCCTCCCAGGTGAATTTTGTATGTGTTTGTGTGTGTGTGCAGCTTGGGTGTTGTTTTTTTTTTCATTCCCATGAAGGTGAATACCTGAGATCTGATAAGTGAAGTAAAAACAGTTTTATATGCTTCCCCCTCCCTCCCATGTCTGGAAATTAGATTCTTTGGTCAACCACAGTCAACAAGTACACACAAGTAAAACGTCTCTCTTTGTTAGAATGGGCGTCAGTTTTCTTACTGCAAACTCTTAAAAGATGCAGCTCTTAAACCTGTTGATCGACTGAAGATGAGCTTCAAGCCAAATTTATTGTCATATTATGACCTCTGTTGTATATTTATTTATACAGTGAAAGTTGTGTTTATTTTTTTTTTTAGAGAATATATTGCATATGGCCATATTCATCATAATATAGATCTTCTTTGTTACTTGTGTTTTTATCAATAAACAGTTTTTCTACTGATTTTTAACGCTTTCTTAAATCTAATACTTCCTCCTCTATCTCTTCATTCACTCACTGAGCTGCTTGTGTGTAAAATGTGTTTCCAGTCACTCACACGTCTCACAGCTTTGTGAAATTAGACATTTATTCTCAAAACAGACTTCACATACAATAAATAAATTAAATTGCAATATTTAAAGCACTGCTAAACAAACAATTTCAAGTTGATCTTGGTAATGAGTTGACATTTGTGATCGGTGGCTTTCACTGAAGAGTAGCACAGTCAAACTATGTCACCAACTACACAAACAGATAGAAATCCATAATGTCATGTGCCATAGTCCTATGAGGTACACTGAAACATTTCCATCTCCATATTATACATTAAACAGTGGAGCTGTGAATTACACTCATCCATAATGATGCGCAGCAGTGACTGAAGTGTTTTCATATAATATAAAAATGAGATGAGCTGCTGGTAGTTTCATAAAACAGGGCTTCATGGATCCCTGAAAATGAAATTATATTTACCATGGACGTTTGAATACTGCAGCTGCTAATGTTGAATGATCGCTTGCGTGTTCGGGTGTGTGCGCATTTGTGTGTACGTGCGTGTGTGTTAGCGGCTCAGGCGTGCGACACGGGCAGGGAGGTCATGGCATGGGCTGGCAGCAGCGGCTGAAACATGGATGGAGGGGGGTGTACTGCGGGCACACAGAGCACCAGAGTCATTACAGTAATTCACACGTTAACTCATGAAGCAACTCACACTGATATGGAAAGCTTTCTTATATTCAAATCACCTTTAGTCTTTGGTAAATGTTAATATAGATCAACAATGTGAAAATCCTGATTATTTGAATGGTTTTCCATTAATTAATTTCGCCATTAACACATTAATGAATTTCCATTTGTCTAGAGCTGAACACAGCGGGATACTTTTATGTTTTTCCTCTTTTTATCTCATGTTGACTGGTACGACTTTTCATGAAGAAGTACAAAATGTGATATTTCACATTGCTTTAGTAGAACTTAACACAAGAATGTAATAAGAAATGTACTGACTATCAACCATATGATTTTATTATAACATTTATCCTCCCAATTAAGATTATGGGCAAGTCTGTCCATTTATTTGTTCAGAATTTTATTTTATTTTTTTAATTATGTTAATCAAAGAGGGAAATTCCTCTATGGTCCCCTCTGTATCTTTTTTAAAGAGTTTAAGATTTACTTTGGTGATAAATGTAACATCAGATCATTTGCTTATAAACTCAATTTTTCTGAGAGATGAGCAACCTTAGTGCCCATGTCAGTTTGAATCCTTCTATAACAACGTTTTATTTAATAAACCAGTGCAGTTGGTGACTTTATTTATCATAGAAAATAATGTTTCAGATTATTCAAACAGCTCTAATCTTAAACAGATTAATTGAGATGTTTTCAGTGTAGAGTCTAATTTCTTGGCAGCGATTAATCATTGGAAAACATAAATTTGCTCTTCAGATAATTCATACGTCAAATGTAAGGTATCACAAGGTACGACATCCGTTTAACCTGCGCTTCTTTTGTTCATTTGTTCCTTGGTAAAACACATATAACAAAATGTATTCTGTGATAAATTGTGCACATATGTAGGTTTTCTGTCATTTACATGTAAAAAAAGAAACTTAATATTCAAAATGTGAAAATAGTCATCTCTCTTATTTCTGTGGTAATCCCTGTAAACATGTTCTATTGTCTTATCACACAAGGTTGTAACATTTTGCAGAATACAGAAAGAAATCTATGCAAATCCCTCTGGTAAAAAATCATAAAAAGTCTGGTTCTCACTGTCTATGAAGGAGTGTAGTGCAGAGAGCATTGAGCCCTCGGGGCCTCCGTAGGCTGTGTACTGCAGCTCCTCGGGCGTTGGGGTGGGCTGCGACAGGCGGCTGGGCTGCATTGAGGTCATGGGGGTGCTGGAGGTGTGGTTGGGGCTCACGTGCTTCTTGTGGCGAGCTCGGCAGTTCTGGAACCAGACCTGAGTTAACGGGACAAACAGCCTTTGAAAGCAACATGCAACAAAGAACACTGTCGAGAAGATGTGGATAGTTATTGCAGGTTTTAAATCACACAAGCCGAACACACAAAACTCAAATCTTCAATTTTGAATGGAGTTACAGTCATATCTCCTGGTGAGTATAACCATTGTTAAATTTTTACTGCCCTGTAATTTTTATCAATTGCACAACTCACTGTTCCCACTTCCTGTTTATTTAGTGGTGCCTTTATTTTTTGATTATTCAAGGTTTCACTTTGTCATATATGCAGAGATAATAAGGTAGCAAGAGTCAAATCTGCCCGGCCGTTTCCAATAAGGTGTCATTATCTACCTAGTGTGCTTGAATTGTCAATGTTAGCAGTGGAAAAAATGATACCCCACATATTAAACACTTTAATAGAAACATTTGTTGGACTCTAAGTATTTCTCTCTGTACTCGTCCTCTGTCTTATATGACATACTGTGCACTGCCAGCGTGCTGTACTTCAGGATTATTTTGAGATACTGTAATTTACTTGAGTATTTTCATTATATGATACAATATTTCTATACAGAAAAACACTTTGTACTCCATTCCATGTAGTTATTAAATATTTTGATGATTGATAAAGTCAAGATGATCAGCTAATAAGATACAATACATGATTATAAATTAAACAATGCAGCAATATATAAAATATACCTCATAGTGGGTTGTGATTTATCTCTTGCTTCTCTCTCAGTAAGTGTACGGAATTATGTACAGATGAGTATTTCTCTGATGCAACTGATCCCTCACTGACCTGTATGACTCTTCGACTGAGGCCCGTCTGCTCTGCCAGTTTCTGCAGCGTTTGTGCGTCTGGGTTGTTGTCCTGAGCAAACTGGGCCTGCATCACCTGCACGTGCACAGGTAAAAGAAAATCAGTTCAGTACCAGAAGATTTCCTTTGTCGTCCTGTGAGGATTTAAAAGATTATCTGCAAAACACCAGT